GGCAAGGATTTTGATACTCCATCTCACATACTTTGGGGGACCACTCTTTGGAGAAGGATATCATGCTTGTAAGAGCTGAGGGACATTTCAGGAGAGGAAGACCCCAGATGAGATGGATTGACACAAAAACTAGGATAATGAGGGTAGGTGTGTCAGAGACAATGAGATTGGCTCTGGCCAGGTTCACAACTATTGTGCACAGGGTTACTATGCATTGTAGTCAATTGACCAGAACATAACAATAGACTGAGGATAAGGTTGAACCGCCTCTGAGGTTAATAAACAGTCCAATAAAGCAATAGTTATTTCAAAGCCATTTACTAAGTCTAATCACATATATTAAAAGATACATTGCATTGGAACAGTCTACTGTCAGAGACCTCTCCAAAGTACTGAAGAGCAACAATATCAGTCTAGAGACTAAGGTATGCCTGATACAGGCCATTGTCTTTGTAGTCACTTGCTATGCATCAGAGAAACTGGACAATGATTAAGGATGATAGAAGTATTGATGCCTTTGAGCTGTGTGGTGCTGGAGAAGAGAACTGAATATACCATGAACTGATAAGAGAACAAACAGATTTGTCCTAGAGAGGGTTAAACCAGGCCACTCCTTGGAGGCAAAGATTCTGAAGCTTTATCTGATATACTTTGGACATGTTGCAAAGAGGGACCAGTCCTTGGAGAGGGACATCATGTTTGGGAGGGTGGAGTGACAGCACAGAGAGGAAGACTCTAGATGAGATGGACTGATTCAGTGACTGGGGTAATGGGAGTAGGTGTGTCAGAGACAGTGAGACTGGCACAAGATAGAGCAGAGTTTAGGGCTGTTATACACAGGGTTGATATGAGTCACAGGGGACTTGATGGCACACAACAAAAACAACAACGAATCACACATATTAATTTTATCCATGATCATTCAGACAAAAATATCCATAAAAATAAGAAAGAAAATATTCTCTTTCCTAAAAAAAAAAAAGGCTAATAGGAAGGAATAAAAGGGTAATGCAGAATCACAAAATCAGAAGCTTTCAGATGTGTGACACATGAATATAAATATGCAAATTCATTTTTGTAAGATGATAGAGTGGTAGGTCAGTGGCAATAGACTTCATCTTGCCGAAAATGTTTTTGTGAAAACATTTTAGTTAAAAACGTTTTTAAACTGAGCTTTAAAACTGAGCTGATCAAACAAAACACTCTGTTGGTAGATCATCAAAGATCTTGGCTAGTTTAAGGTGATAAATTGTGGGTTTTCTTATATGGAAGATGGATGTCCTTACTGACAATGATGACTTTTTATATATAAGCACATTAGGATCACAGTACTTTAAACTATACCAGGTACCCAAAAAATCATCTGACTTTTAAAAGAACATTTTAAAAAGCACTTCCATAATTTTAAAAAACAATAAAGGAGAAGACCTCAGTTTTACTTTTATTTATCCAACATTCACCAAATAACTAGTAAATACAGGATAGGGCAGGGGTCAGAGTTGTCCACAGAATCACTATGAGTCACAAGCAACTCAATGGGACATAACAATTGCAACAGTTTGCTTTAAAATAAGACAGATATTAGTTTAAGAGTTGGCTGACATGGAAGGCTTTCATGAAACAACATATGATAAAAGGCAATGGTGATGAGGGAGGATGTTCAACCTGCTTTGAAGGGACTGGCAAAAAAAAAGGCCCCAGGAGTTGATGGAATACCAATTGACATATTTCAACAGACACTACCTGCATTGGATGCACTCACCAAGTTGTGTCAGAAAATCTGGAGGATGACTGGAAGATATCCTATTTGCTCCCCTTCCAAAAAAGGGTGATTCAACAGATTGTGGAAATTACTGAATAATATTACTGATAACACATGCAAGCAAAGTATTGCTGAAGATTATCTAAAAACAACTGGAAGTGTACATTGACAGAGAACTACCAGAAATATAGACCAAGTTTAGAAGAGGCCAGGCACCAGAGGACAGAGAAATTATTGCCAGTGTAAGATACATCTTAACCAAAAGCAAAGAGTACCAAAGGAATGTCTGAGTTTTATTGACTGTACAAAGACATTTGACTGTGCGGATCACAGCAAATTGTGGCTAACCTTGAGAAGAATGGGAACCCCAGAATACTTGATTGAGCTCACGTGGAACTTCGACCAGAAAGCCGTCATCAGAACAGAGTAAGTACATACTCCATGGTTCAAAATCAGGAAAGGAGTGTGACAGAGATGTGTTCTGTTTCAACACCTTTTCTATCAATGCAGAAAAGATCATTCAGGAGGATGGACCTTAGGAGAAATGTGGTATCAGAATTAATCAAAAGAAGACTCATCAACCTACATTACGCAGATGGCACACCCTACCTCACTGAAACTGAAGAAGACCTAAAGCATTTGCTGCAGAAGATCAAGTCTATAGTCTTCAATATAATTGAAGTTCAACATCAAGACAAAGATTCTCACCACTGGGTCAACTGGCGTACCATGATAGATGGACAAGAGATTGAGGTTGTTAACAACTTTACCTTGCTCAGATGCACACTCTTGGCACCGGCAGTCAAGAAATCAAAAGACAAATTGCTCAGGGGAAAACTGCTGTCAGGGACTTCTCTAAAGTGCTAAAGAGCAACAATGTCAATCTGAAGACTAAGATGCACCTGATTTGGGCTATGGTCTTCACAATTACTTGCCAAGCATCAGAAACTATACAGTGACTAGAGTTGACAGAAGAAGAATTGATGCTTTTGAATTGTTGTGCTGAAGAAGAGTACTGAACATACATACCATGGACTGCCAAGAAAACAAACAGGTCTGTCCTAGAGAGGGTGAAACTAGGCTGCTCCTTAGAGGCAAGGAGTTTGAAGCTCTGTCTCACATACTTTGGGCACATGGCCAGGAGGCACCAGTCCTTGGAGAAGGACATCATACTTGGAAGGGTGGAGGGACAATGCAGGAAAGGAAGATACAGAGAAGATGGATTGGAACAGTAACTGGGATAATAGGGTTAGGTATGACAGAGATGATGAGACTGGCTCAGGATAGAGCAAGATTCAGAACTACTGAACATAGGGTCACTATGAGTCACAGGCAACTTGATGGCATATAACAACAGCAGCAGCGATGCGAATTTTACTAGAAAAAGAAATCTTCTACTTAAAAATAAGCTCAGCTTTTTTACACAAGATTATTCATATATTTAATATATAACCCATGTATTTTATTGAGGACACAAACCTAATAAAAATAACTGTAAGAAAATGTAACCTGATTTAAACCAATAACCTCACCCATCACTCTACCTGATGTTTTTCTTTAAACTCTAGCTTTTTAGACTAGTAAGAATACTTTTGTGCTGCTCTTGCTTCTCTAGGGAGTTATAACTGTCACTAAGAGAAATGAAGTGATAAAGAAATAATTTCTGAATTAGATGGAATGATAAGTATGATTAGCTGAATTCACTGGCGTTTTCCCAAGCATTTTTCATTTGTAACAAATGTGTATTATTAGTCCTAAAAATTTCACTCCTATTCACTCACTCCCAAAGGAACTGTACTGGCATAAGTCCCTAATATGTTGTGCTATCAACCAAGAAGCACAAGAAATTGCATAAGGTACATATAACATATTATTAGTTAGTTAAAGAAGACTATGTAATTGTAAAATTAATTCCCGGTGTTTCAAATCCACCAGGGGCTCCAGAGAAGAAAGATGGGTAGTCCTCTCTTGTTAAGATTTATAGCCTCAGAAAACCAATGGAGGATTGTGGGAAGCCAAATATCAAATTTAATATTAATAATAAACCAAATGCTGTATCAGGATATGAGGGAGGCATAATACAAGCTAGAATTAACCCTGTAGCACTAAGACAATCCTTAAATGTTTACAGGGGTAGGCATTAAGGCAATCCTTAAGAGTCTACATAATTCTTAGTTTGTATTTACTGAATCCCTCACCCTCTTGAGATAAGCATAAGGTAAATAATACAGAAGAATGAGGCCGTATTTACAAAAGACTTCCCCATGATCCTTTGGTTTTTTATTTACTACTCCTTTGTGATTTTCCTTTGTTTACCTTCCTGATGATTCTCAATAAAAACCCAGAAAGGCATAGAATAGGGGCTACAGTTCTCCTGGTTATTAGCCCCCTGCCTTCACGCTTTCTGGCTTGACCCACATTCCTGTGTGTCCTGGTCTCTGTCTTTTCCTTCACTCGATACAGAGGATCATTATGAGTTAAAATCAGTTTGATGCCCGTGAGTGAATTAGGTATAGACCCAAGATAATTAAAAATGCCTATACACTAAAAAATCCCCACATATACAAATGTTTCTGCAGCACTATTAATAAAAGCAAAAAAAGTGGAACCAAACCAAATGCCCATGAACTAATCAATGAATAAAAAAATTACTTTAAAAAATTACTTTTATCTGTGGAATGGAAAATTATTTAAGCATAAAGAGGAATGAAGTACGGGCATATGCTGCATCATGAATGAACCCCTGAAACAATTTGCTAAGTGAAAAAAGTTAGATAGAAAAGCCACACATTGTTTAAGTCCTTTTACATGAATTGTCCAGATTAGGGACTTCCACAGAAACAAAAGTTTGTCAGTAGCTGTGAAAAGTTGGAAGATGAGAGGAATGGGGAGTGACTACTAATGGATATGTGATTCCTTTTTGAGGTAATGAAAACCTTATTGAACTGTAAAGAGGTGATAGTTATGAATATGTATATTAAAACCATTGAATTGTAAACTTTAAAAGGGTGAACATTGTGTTACGTGAATCCTAATAAAGCTGTTACTTTAAAAGTATGTGGTTATTATAGCATATTTGTAGTAAGTATCTAAAATGTTTTATATTCTGCAAAAAAGATAATAGTATTCTGTATACCTAGTGTTACATAGGAATCATCCCAAACCCTTTTTTTAGTGATCAACTGTTTCTAAATACCATTCTCACTACAGTCACAAAACAAAAACAGAATAACTTTTTAAACATAAATATATTTAAAAAATTAAGACACCTAAGAAATGCAATCTATACATATGAAAAAGTATAATATTTATATGCATAACAAGTAGTAGCTAGCAACAGTATCCATAAGCAGCAGTTAGTGTTTCTTTTCCCCCACATTCTGTTTTAAAACCATATTGGTATTCTTTCAGAGAAATTGCATAAGGTACATGTAACATATTATTAGTTAGTTAAAGAAGACTATGTAATTGTAAAATTAATTCCAAATAACAGTATTCCCTATGAAAACACATTCTGTGTTAAACAAATTATTTTAAACTAGAGAACAAAATATGAAGCTATAAAGTCCAAGATATATAGTCAACTTGCATAAAATTACATATTGCATTTTAAAAATGGCCCATTTCTAAAATATCAGTAATTCAGGCAACTGGGATTTCCATAGGAGATAAATTTCAATTCATTTCCTTTTTATGAAGAAACAGTGTATATTATGAATGTTGTAACTATGTTATTAGTAAATGCATAGCATATTTTAAAAATTAAAATGGTGAAATATATGCATTATTCTTTTACTGGGTACCAGCCCTATAGCAGCATTTTAAAAGGTAGTTTAAATTTAGTTAGCCAAATTTCCAAATTATTCAGGTTTTTAAACTTCTCTTAAAATACCTCTCATGTATAGTTTAATGAATAATTATAATTTCCATTATAAATGGGACCCTATCATATTGATAGTCTAAAGATACAAGAAATAAAGTACTTCAATAGCTTGGTACTTTATTGAAAAAATACATGGAAATATATATATACTAACTCCACAAAAACAATTAACCTACTCATGTAAGCAAAATACTAAAAATTTTTTATTTGGGAAAAATGAAGTAAAATATAGTGAATGTTTTCTTAATTTCTAACTGTAAAAATCCCTTTGCCTATTTATTTGACCCGTCTCTATTCATGCAAAGTAATGAACCCTCAAAAAATTTATACATTTTTATACAGAATTCACATCTACATGAGTAAATTGCCAGTCCTTTTATATTTTCAGTGCCTTGTCAAAATATGAGTAACAAAGTTCTCTATGAGGCAGGAAGATGTTTTCTAAGTATTTCTTTGGAAGATGAGGATATAGTATCTGGGAAGGAAACCTCAAACTCTATTAGAAGGTCACCACGCTGGTCAGGATTTTTTGGAAATGGTAGCCCATATCCAATAATTCTTCTCCTCATTCCAGGTTTCACAATATCATTTAATGCCATAGGTATGGTTCTTCCATCCATTGTTGGTACATTAATTGAACAGCCACATAATGCCTAATATGGACCAAAAACATAAAATTAGCAAACTTCCAAACTTAGACAATAAAAATCCTTTACTAGATGGTTAGGATCATATCACTAAAATGTTAAGTTCCAAAAGAATCAATAGTTGTAAAGCATTTTCCCTACTAAAAAATTCTTCCAAATATGCACTATCAGATATATTACAAAAGAATACACATGATAGGAAAAGAAAGGATGTCTTTTATATGGCCCTGGAATAAGCTGGCCAAGTGGTAAGGAGCTGCACTCAAACAATTCAAAGGTACACAGGTCCAATCTATCAGTTGCTCTGAAGGGGAAAGATAATCTCAGTTTAACTACCTCTGAATACCTTCTGGAGGGTGGGCTGCGAGTCAGTTTCAACAAAACAGTACAGAAAACTACATAATCAACCAACTTAACTTTGTGGCTGTATTCAGAGTACAGAACAAAAACAATAATTCAACATTCAAGATAATACAGTGAGTAAAGAGTAGAAAGTAGATTAAAATGGCTTTTTATTTTAAACTCGATTTTGGACTTTAATGCAGATAATATGTGGGGCCATTTAAAAATTTTGAACAAGGAACTGATTATTATCCAGTTTGAAAATAGTGCCCAAAATTAGAATAAAAGTCCATATATTAAGGCAGTATCATTTTAGTTATTGTCTTCTAATATGTTCAACATTTTTTTTGGTTATACAATTAAAATTCCAAATTATCAATTATAGAAAATTTTTAAAGAGAGGGTAAAATATAGATGTCATAAAAACAAGATGAAGTTAGTCCAATATTAGACACTACAGTATATAAGCTAATTAAAGCTTAAATTTGGCATTTAAATTGTTAGGAATTTAAATTTAGAAAATAGAATCTCCTCTTTACAAGAGATAAAATCCATGAATGACTCAGGAAACACTCAGATCAGAGGTAAAATCCTCTGTGTAGTAATACCTCAGAGAATTATTAAAAGGGTTGAGAAAAACCAGTATGTAGTAAACACTGTGAAATGCTATGAGTCGCAAGCAACTAGATGGACATAACAGCAACAATAGTAAACATGTAATAAATATTAGCTACTATTTATGTAAATTCCCTAAGATCAACTGTATGATTCTGTTTGGTCTCAGAACTCCCAAGTTTCAGAAACTTACCTCTCGTAAACTAATTTTTGCATTGTAAATTATATTTGATCCATCCCTTTTAAATTTTGGGTGCTCTTTATCTTTAATGATAAAAACAACATCTGCTGGAATACTATTTGGTGTTTCATCTCCTTCTCTTGGAAACGTAATTTTAGTGCCTTCTTTCCACCCTTTTTTAATCTCAATGGTAAGAATTTTGTCCTCAGATCTATAACTCCTTCCATCAGGATTTAACCGTTTTCTAGAAATCTTCATCCGTTTAGTACAACCTGTATATATTTCTTCAAGTGATACTTTAAGTTCATGAATAATTGGAGGATCTTGTTTGAGGCGGGATGGTCCCACAGAATTCCTGTCTCTTGGATATCCATTCATGCTGAACCCAAAGGCACTAAAAGGATCCCCATCTACTTCCATATCTTCAGAATCTCTACCACCAGTCATTCGTCTTCCAAAGAAAATTTCGAAGGGGTTGGAACCTCCAAAAAACGCTGCAAATGTGGCATGAGGATCACCATGAAAGGTGTACCGGAAGGTGCCACCCTGTCCATCAGTACCTCCTGCTCCACCTTTCAACCCTAAGTGAAAGAGATAAGCATGATTAGAAAATACCTGGCAACCCTGAAAATTACACTTAAAACATATTATTGTTAATAAATATCGATGAAGTTGGGTTGCAATTTATAACACTGGAAAGAAAAGATAATGAAACAAGGAGTAGCTATGTAACTTTGGATGATTATATACTATGTTACATTTTTAACTTTAAAATTATTCCTCCAAATCCTTAGCTTTAGTGATAATTTATTCTTGATAACTATCTTAAATGCAAATAAGAAAACCAAAATAAAACCAAGAAACTATTTTTAGAAATCACTGCTTGCGCATACTTAAGTATATAAATTTAAGTATTTAAATAAGTCAGTTAAAAGGTCTTCAGTAACCAAAGGAAGATGCAGGAACTAAATATTTAAGTGCCATTATAATCAATAAATACAATAAATACTATAAAATATAAAATTAAACAGCCTTACTAGTTAACCCAAATAATTTTTACTGCTTTACTCTTTGAGAATGAAAGTGGGATTCTTTCTGTGGCAGAAAAGGAAAATATTCTACTAACAAGGACAACCTATGAAAATGTTTTAGACAGTAAAATCAATATCCCAATTCTAAAGATAAAAATTGTTTATCAAGGCATATCATAGCATTGATTTCAGCACCATGTTAAAAAAGAGAGAGAGAATGAAATCAAGAGTTATAAACCTTCTTGGCATGTAAGGTCTTTGGACTGGTTTTTTCTGTCTAGACATCCAGCTTCAGATAGCTATATAGTGTCTTTCTGACACTAGTACCTGGTCAAAAAAAAAGATAATTCCTCATGCATTTTAAGGTTCTACTAAGTATTAGGGAGCCCTGGTAGCTTAGTAATATGGAATTGCACTGCCCACACAAAGCTATGGGTTACAAATTCACATGTAGTTCCATGAGAGAAAGATTGGCAATCTCTACTCAGGCAATTTATTGCCTCTGAAAACCTGCTGGAGGGTCAAGTATTGGTGGGCTCTGACTGCATGGTAATAAACAACAACTATTAAGTAATATATCATTCACAAACACAGATATTATAAGCTGTATTTTTTATTATATATAACAAAATCTTTCTAATAAAATCCACAAAAAATAGTGTAGTAATCTTTAAAGAAGCCAATTATGGCAATAATTTCTGGTACTATAGAATGAAACTTACAGGCAGTTTTGGTCAATGAAAAAAGAAAAACTGTAAATCTGAAATTGTTAAACCATGGATCATGTAAGATGCTAATGGAGATTCCAGTATCCTCCGATATGTCCAAAATGTGAGTAATTTGAGGAAAAGAAACATGTTTAATTCATTTTTGCACTGCATATACATATAAGGCAGCAATGTAATAGGCACCCATGTTTACCCTATCAATAAAGGGAATGAATCAATTCTTAACATCCTCCTAAATAAAACTAAAAAAGGTATCTTTATCAGGATAGCAAATAAGACAAAAACAAAAACATAGTGCATATATGTGTATACATATTTGTGTGTACACATGTATTTTAGCCATACATACACATATAAGAGATTTAATAATTAAAAGATTCAGTGAAAAATGTTAATATGCTGTCAGAAATAGAATTTTGCATGTCTTATTCTATACTTGGCTCTTTCCATTAAAAGACAGGAATTAACTGGTTCCAAGTTGATGTCTACAGTTTATCTTCATCCATGAATAGATATCTAGAGAGATCAAAAAGAAACCTAATAATCTAAGAATAATTAAAATATATACTGATCCAAACAGTACTTAAAGGAAATTCCATGTAGAAATAGAATGACAAATAAAAGGACAAGAAATTTTAGTATGTTACTCGCACAAAACTTCTTTTTATAAACACAAAAAACCTAAACTCTTTGTCAGTAAGTCAGAACTGACTCACAGTTGACCCTCCAGTGGGTTTCAGAGGCTGTACACTGCATGGGAGAAAACTGCCATCTTTGTCCTGAGAAGTGATTTGAACCACCAAAAGCACAGCCATCAGTTAATAGTGCAACTCCCTGTGGACTATATCACAAGAACTTCCTTTTTGTAAAGGAAGTGGTGTAGTTACAATTACAACTCTCAATATTAAAAAGCTATTGATGACTTTTTTAAAATGGGATTATAAGTCAAGGTCATGACAAAGTGACTAAACCAATTCTCAAGTTATTTCATTTTTCTCAAAACAGTGCAAAAATTAAATTTAAAATTACATTTTTAAAAAATTTTACTAATGTAAATTAGTTTGCACAGTCTAAAATTCTAAAACAATGTTTGTTGTTGTTGTTATGTGCCCTCGAGTCATTTGCGACTCATAGCGACCCTATGCACAACAGCCCTAAACCCTGCTCTATCCTGCGCCAACCTCACTGCCTCTGACACACCCATCCCAATTACCCCAGTCACCGAATCAATCCATCTCATAGAGGGTCTTCCCTCCTGCGCTGTCCCTCCACCCTACCAAGCATTATGTCCCTCTCCAAGGACCCGTCACTCCTGGCAACATGTCCAAAGTATGTCAGACGAAGCCCCAGAATCCTTGCCTCCAAGGAGTAGCTTGGTTTAATCCTCTCCAAGATGAATCTGTTTGTTTTCCTGGCAGTCCATGGTACATTCAGTACTCTTCTCCAGCACCACAGCTCAAAAGCATCCACTCTCCTTCTGTCCTCCCTAGTCATTGTCCAACTCTCTGATGCATAACAAGCGATTGCAAATACCATGGCCTGTGTCAGGCGCACCTTAGTCTCCAGAGAGACACTGTTGCTCCTGAGTACTTTAGAGAGGTCCCTAACAGCAGACTTTCCCATCGCGATACGCTTTTTGATTTCCTGACTGCTGGTGCCAAGAGTGTTGACTGTGGAGCCGAGCAAACTGAAGCTGTGAACAATCTCAATCTCTTCGTCATCCATCCTGACGCTGCCAATTGGTCTGTTTTTAATCCATAACGGAATCATAAATAGAAAGCTTGGCTTTTCTCTAAAACCAATTCCCTAACTTTACTAAAAATGGTAACTTAATGTGGATCACAATATTCCTGTGAAGATTTCTATACTGCCTGAGGTGAGCTAGTTATTAAATTGACAAAAAAGGCTCCCATTCAGCTTTGAGATTTTCTTGGACATTAAATAGTCAACTGCACAGCTCAAGTAAAGGACAAGGCTACTCTGATAGGATCAAGAAATTCTACCCAAATCCATGTCATTATAATGTAATATAAATTATTACATAAGTATCATTTGCACTGCCTAAGACTTGAATTATAACAAGTATGTCATTAACTAGATAGTCAACTCTTAAATCATCTGCATTTTAAACACTGTTGTTGGGTGCTGTTGAGTCAGTCTGACTCACGGTAATTGCTCATAGAAAATTTCAGTATTCAACTGGATTCTCTCTTAATATTCTCTGGATTCCCAAAGTGTTTTTTAGACACTATCACCACTTTCTATGATCAGGGATTATACCCTAGAATCAACAAAGTAAGGCTGTTATTATTTAAAAAACAAATCAACAATTTGCCATCCAAGGAAACAAATATTTATGTGCTTGGGATACGATCTATAATAATGAATTCTACTTAGTTGATCAGAAGTTTATTAAAAAGAAAACAATAGGCTTTTTTTCATTTTTAGAATTGCAAAGCAAAAGAAAAATTTAGTAACTCTTACTTTAATGAAACCTAGTATTAAAATACAGATGTATAGTAAGACTTACAGAGTTATGAAACTGTTTTTGACAAAAACCTCAGTTTACTTACATAATTTTAGAAACACAGTAAATAGAGCCATCTGATTTAATATTTAAGTAAAAGAATAAAAGAAACAAACAAAATCTAGATATACCACCGAAAATTTTATCATGTAGGTACTACCTCTCAAGTAACCACTCAGAAGTAAATCTGAGACATTTTAGGAGATACTGATTCAAAATTTAATTTAAAATTTCTGTTCTGGTATAGTTTTCCTTTTTTAATTACTCAAACATGGATAAAATATCACTGTAGATTCAAAAAGCCATTTATAATATAGTTTATTAGAGATGACAAGTCATCCATTGTAAATATACAATTCATTGATTTAATAAATTCACAGTTGTGCCACCAACACTACAATCCAGTTTTAGAACATTTCCATTATCACAAATTGTTCTCTAGTGTCTATTTGTAGTTAATCTTTACTCCTACCACAAGCCCAAGACAATCACTAACCTTCTAACTCAATAAATCTGTCTTTTTTGAACATTTCATATAAATGAAATCATACAAAATATAACTTTATATCTAGCTTCTGCCACTTTTTTCATCCTTATTTTATCAAGTTACCATAAATTAATCCATTTAATTGCTGAATATATAGATACACTACATTTTATCCCAATCAGTGGGACTTTTGTATTGTTTCCATTTTGCGAGTCTCAACAAATAATGCTGCTATAAACTTTACATGCATGTCTTTATGTGGATGTTTTCATATCTCTTGTCTAGAGTCATAGGATTCTAAGTGTGGGTGTCATATATTGTTGTTAGGTGCCTTTAAGTCAAGTACAACTCAGAGCAACCCTATGAACAGTCTTTCTGAAACTGCCCTATCCTGTGCCATCCTCCTTATTTCTGAGACACCAGAGCCTGTTGCTGAAGACAGAGTGTCAATCCATCTCATTAAGGGTCGTCCTCTCCTTCAGTGACTCACCATCTTTCCAAGTATGATTTCCCTTTTCTTTTTTTTAAATTTTTTTAATTTTATTATTTTTGTGTGCGTGTACCATCAAATCAGATCTGACTGGTACAGGAGAAGACTGTCCCTCCTTCCCCGGCAGACCATCTGGTGGATTCGAACCGTGCACCTCTGGGATTGTAGTTGCAGTTTCTTGCCACTAGGCCACCAGAGCTCCCCCATGATTTCCCTTTTCAAGGAATAACTTCGCCTTGTCTCCAAGGAACAACCTGGCTGAACCCTTTCCAGAACATACATATCTGTTTGTGTTTCATTGGCAGTCCATGGGATGTTGAGTACTCTCCAGCATCACAACTCAAAGGCAATTTCTTCTGTCATCTTTATTTATTGTTCAGCTCTCTGATGCGTAGCAAGTGACTGAGAAGATCGTGGCCTGAATCAAACACACCTTAGTCTTCAAACTGACATCATTGCTCTTCAGTATTTAGGATCTGTCCCTGACTGCAGACTTGTCCAATGTAATAAATACGTCTCCTGAACCTAACTGCTGGTACCAAGGGTGTTGACTGTTGATTCAAGCAAGATGAAATCATTAACAGTTTTAATCTTTTCTCCATCTATTGTAATGTTGACTACTGGGCCTGTGGTGAACATCTTTGACTCCTTAATATTGTCAAGTAATCCATACTGAAGGTTGTAGTCCTTGATCTTCTGCAGTTGGGTCATACAGTAAGTTTAAAATATTTGTATCTTTTTGAATTGTTGTTGTTATATGCCATTGAGTCACTTGCAACTTATAGCGACCCTATGTACAACAGCTCTGACTCCTGCTCTATCATGTGCCAACAACAGCTCTGAATCCTACTCTCTTGTGTGCCAATCCTACTTTCTATGACTCACTGACCCCAATTATTCCAGTCACTGAATCAATCCATCTCATCGAGGGTCTTCCTCTGATAAAAATTTTAACTTGTGGCTATTAGAGGTGTTCAGAATATAAAATGAACTGCTGGTTCTCTATTGTAGTTATGTGTTGTAGAGTCAAAATCAACTCACAGTTGACCCTCTAGCAGGTTTTCAAAGGCAGTAAGTCATATGAAAAGGGACTGACCATTTTTCTCCCATGGAGAAGCTGGTGAATTCAAATCTCAAGTCTTTGGGTTGGTAGCACAAATTCTTACTGCCAGAGCTCTCTGCTGGTTTTCTTTCCTCCTATCTAAATTTAGCATAGTCATTCCAAAACTCTTCCAAGCTTATGATTCCTTAGTCCTTCCTTTGAAAAGGGCATCATGCTTGAAAAGATGGAGGGTCAGCAAAGGAGAGGAAGATCCTTCAGCAATGGGCGCTGGTGTCTCAGAGATGATGAGGATGGCACAGAATAGGGCAGTTTTCAGAAAGACTGTTCATAGGGTCACTATGAGTCGTACTCAACTCGACAGCACATAACAACTGTCCACACACACACACACACACACACACACACACACACACACATCCCAGGTAAATCATACACATATAATCAGGTAAATTTAATAGTGACTTTGCAATCCTAAAATATTTTTTCCTATTCACAATGCCTTGAAGAGGAATTTTCAAAATAATTTATGAGATGTTCTGAATAAAATAGCAAATGTAACAACTTTCCTCTGAAAAAAATAAACTTATTCAACCACATTTTCAAATGGCCTAGGGAGCTTTAGTAGCCTAGTGGATAAGGAGTTGTGCTTTCAACCCAAAGGCAGGCAGTTCGAATTTGCCAGCTGATCCATGGGAGAAAAATGATTAGTCTCCTCTCATGTGGTTAATGGCTGTTGAAAATAAGCTGGTGGGCCAGTTAAGAGCTGGTTCCAATTCCACAGGAATAAGTGTGTGAATGATCACTAGAGAATGACACTCCTGAATATACTCTGATGCTTTGAAAAAAACCCTATTCTTTGATTCTTTCCATTTTTCACTTGTATTTCTGAGTTTAAAAAAAAAAAAGGAAAAAGATTCAGTGTGTACAAAAGATCCTTGTTCTGTTTTTAAAAAATTTACTCCCTGGTAATGATCAGTAACATTGTATGGGAGAAACAACACTGAAATACACTATTTGGAAAAATCTTTAAACCTTAAACCAAAAATATCTCCTAAAGTATTCTAAAGACTAAATAATTGTTTACCTTAACTAGGCAGAATGTCTGCCTTAAGCATTATGTGATATATATGGAATCATATTGACAACTCAAAAAAATTAGCTAGGATTAGATAGGAAACTCAAGGGACAGTGGGTTTATGCTAATGAGGGCGGAAGAACTTGGAAAAGGAGGGTGAGAAAGGCTGTACAACTTAATGTAATCAAAGTCTCTGAATTAAACACACAGAAATTGTTGAACTGGCATATGTTCTTCTGTGTATAGGTTCAAAAATAAATGAAAAAAAAACACTATTAGGAAGTAATGTCAAGCCAAGAAAAATGTATTCTTTGTTGACCTGAAAATAATGACGAAAAATATCCTAAATAAACACTGAAGCCTATGCCTTAGCTACAACAAAACTTCAGCTACCAATGAAATTTTGGTCAATTAGATTCAAGGAGTGGTATACTGTCTCCTATTTAAGAATGAATAGTATGTACCCCACATGTTTCTTTTTGATGTTTTTTATAAAAGTATTTCTTCAGAAACAGTACTATATTCTTGGTAGTATTTCAGAATTATGCTTAATGTTTGAAATAAACAAAATGAGTTTATTTTATGTAGTATGGCTATAGAGAAAATCCAGGCAAGGTTGATCTATCCACTACTTGCTTTTCTCAATAAGAATCTGGGCCTGATCATATAAAAATCAGCAACATAGACATCAATGAAGCTAATTTTTAACAATTTGCTGGTAACAGTAACAAAATCATTGGAAAGATCTCTTGCTTTTTAAAATTTAATTTATTTTTAATCCAACTAAATAAAGTTGCTACTTGATTGTATTTTTAAGGATACAGATTTCTAACTAGAAAATTAGGTATGATATAAAATTAATATTAAATGCAATAAAGAAGAAAAGTGGTTTAAAGCTTTAAAATAACTATAATTTAAAATGTTTTGGGTAAAATCTAATAATGAAATAGCATAATCTTCATCCAAAAAAACCCTGAAAATATCAGAATTGCAATAAACTTTTGATCAATTATGAATTTTAAAATAGTTACTTTAGCATAGTAAAATAGTTGTACTTTAACAGCTACACTGTTTTCTGAACTTACATGAGGATGGATAAATGTGATTTACAATCCAAGATGATAAAAGACAAAGTTAAATTATCCCTATTTCCAGCACTCACAATATTCAACTAATTTCTCATCTCACATGCAAGAAACAAAAGTACAGCAGAGAGAGGAAAGACAATTTGTCATGCTTTCTTCTATACCTTAGATAACAAAATCTCAAAAGAATGGTACCTGAAAGAACACTTAAAATCGTTCTAGCTCTAGGTGGCCATTTTAGGTTAAAATTTGTATTTTTAAAACCATTTTCTTGGCACACTATTACTGTTTACAATTAAGCTAAAAACTTGTTCTGGTATTTTATGACATCAGGAAAATTCTTTCCTCTCCAGGCAGAATGCCAAAAACAACTAGAGACTAAATGCCTGGGCCTTCTGCTTATAAGAGAAATAATTCTATCTTGTTCGATCTAAACTAGCTTTACTAATGAGGAAGGCAAAAAACCCAAAATACTTCTTTTTGGTTCTGTGAATAAAATACACTCAGAATTTAAATTACCTATCTTAAGGTTTTTAAATGTTTAAAAGGCTCCTTCCCGATTGTTCTTTGGAGAAAATTCATTAGAAAACAAAACAGGTTGCATAAGACTTTTGACATAATTCTCAATGGGATGGGAATTTAAGGTCTTTTTAAAATATACAATGTTAACATAAATATAAAGGTAGAATACAAAATATAAGACTAAAAAAAAGACAAGCACATTTCATTCATAGGTATTCATTCATGTGATCTAGAACGAAATCTTAATTTTTTTTAATCTATTATTTGTCTTTCTACTTTTGATATGTCCTAGAATTCAATTTCACCATAACCAGAAAGGCGGAGGAGAAAAGAGGGTGAGAAATACAGAGATCAACAGACAGAATAAACAGAATACTTACCTTCCTCTCCAAACTGGTCATATATTTCTCTCTTTTTAGGATCACTCAATACTTCATAAGCCTCTGCGACCTCTTTAAATTTTTCCTCTGCCTGAGGAGATTTGTTCTTGTCCGGATGAAATTTGAGGGCTTGTTTTCGGTAAGCCTTTTTAATATCTTCATCTGACGCTCCTTTTTCAATTCCCAAAATGCCATAATAGTCTTTCCCCATTGCGAATGCCTTGAAATGAACTTAGATTTCCCTTTGTAAAAGAAAACAGCGTCCCCAGTCTTAGCAATACAGTGATTCTAAGAAAAATAACCCAAGCTGGGTATTTTAAAAGTTAAAGCAAATCAGCAATTCAGCTAGCTGTCTTACGGCAGCAGCAAGCAGACAGCGTTTCTGTATTTAATTCCTTCCCCAACAGCTCACTTACAGATAAATATACACTACACGGGAGACTGCCTCCTAGGTCCTCCCATTTTCACTACGTGTCTCTGTACTTTCTAGAACAGCAAATGCTACAGGACGTCACTTCCCCAGCTGCCTCTAGTCAAAGTACCCAGCTACGTTTTCTCCTCCTTCACAATTAACTATTCATTTTCCTTCTTGCTCTGTCATTTTTATTTCCTTTTTAAGAGATCAAGTGGATTAAGAAACCACAATTTCAGCACACAATGCCTCACCTAAGTATGTGTTGATTGTAGATGAAAAAGCTACAAAAAACCTTAACAGCTATTAATCAGCTTAGGTTAAAATAAGCTATCACAGAAACGAAAGTATCTTGAACTTATTTTATAGGTTCCAAATTCAATTTATTCAATACTAATATTTTGTTTGCATTAAAACTTTCAAGTATTTTGTATCATTTTAATTCGCGGGGTTTAACAAATTAGAAATGCCAAGAAGTCAGTATAGCAATTAGACATTGTAAAAAAAGATACGTATCATAAAATTTAAAAGCAATCTTTTTTTACTTTTTTTAATTTTAATGAAAGTTTACAGAGATTTAGAATTTCCATTCATTGTTGCACTTTTCAAAAGCAATCTTTTAAAACAAGAACTTAAATAAAATACATTTAATGAACATAACTTTTTATAGTATATAAAAGTTAATAATTAAAAAAAATACTCCACTTATTTGTAAAAATTGTAAATCCAGATTCAGATATTTCAACTAAAACAAGAATGAGACATCCTCAACTGCATCCCAACTCCTATAGCACTGTTTAAGGAAGAAATTTTGTGCAGCAAGAATGTAGTAAACAATATCATGCTTTGTTGTTGTCGTTATATACCGTCGAGTTGCCTGTGACCCATAGTGACCCATAGTGACAGCAGCTCTGAACCCTCTCTTATCCTCAGCCAGTCTCACTAATTCTGACACACAAACGCTCAAGGCCTCAGTAACTGTGTCAATCCATCTCATCCGGGGTCTTCTCCTCTGTACTGTCCCCCACCCTTCAGAGCATGATATCCTTCTCCAAGGACCGGTCTCTCATGTGCCCAAAATATGTGAGACGGAGCTTCAAATTCCTAGCCTCCAAGGAGAGAAGTGGTTCAACCTCTCCAAGACAGCATATATTCATGCTCCTTAGAAACCGTAACAGGATTCATTTAAAGCTTAAATATATGATTTAAACCCAAACCCCTTAATTAAGTCAATTCCAACTCATTGTGACCCTATGGCTTAGAATAATACTGCCTTCTAAATTTTAAAGGATAGAAATTTTTATGGAGTGCCACAGCATTTTCCTATGAGTGGTTGCTGGAACTGAACCATTAAGCTTTCAGCTTGCAGCTGAAGCTTAACCACTGCAACAGCAGGATGGTATCTCTTAAGGGCAGTCTGAAAGGGTTTGTTTTTTGTTTTCCTTTTAAACTTTTTTCCTCCTAATTATAAATAATGATGAGTTCTAGAGGCATACTCCATTACAAATTGCTCTGCTAGTCCACAGACTGGAATCTGTGGGAGAAACATGGGCCATCTCCCATTGTGATTCACAGCCCTGGAAAGGAACCAACTCAATAGCAGTAAGTTATTGTAATATATAATGTAATATATACTCATTATGAAAGGCTACTGGAAAACAGAATGATAAAAAACATTAACTTCTTATCATATCATTTTAGGTAATCTTCATTAAATGATGGTATATTTTTCCTAGTCTTTTCCCTGCATATATTTATGATTAATTGCTGTAGTTCTTTTTGTTTGTTTTTTTATTAAAGTTTAGATTATAGTATTTTTAAACTTCCTCGACTCTGCTTTTTAAAAACACATTTTGGACTATTATTAATTTTTTCAATGTACAGAATTCCTCTTTATCAACTGATGTGTCTTTCTCATATTTTAAAAAATATTACCATTTCTAAAATAGTTTTGGAATGTTGTGTTAATAAGAAAATACTATAAAAATTGTATATATTTTTCTATACTCATACACCATAACAGTCTACAAGTTTAAAAACCTTTATGAGAGGAAAAGCAATGAATATAGATGTTTAGCATGAAAGGTCATGGACTACATGGGAACCTTTAAATATATGAGAATACTTACTACAATTGCTGAACAGCTTTATATTAAAAATAAAGCAACTTTTCTGCATGTTTATCATTGTTTATTTTAGCATGTATGCCATATATATATATATATATATATATATATATATATATAGTCTC